CTGACCCTAGAAAGGAGCTGACCCTCAAGAGGCGCTAAGCCTGGATTGGTGCTGACCTTGGGGAGGAGCTGACCTAGGGAAGGGCTGACCCTGGGAACTGCTGCATCCTCTTTGCCCACTTCTATTCTGGGTTCGCCTAGGAGAGGTGCACAGAGGCCTGCTTCCTATTAGATTTCAGAAGGAAAGTGGAGTTTTGTAGGAATAAATAAACTCATGTCTAGACAGTGCAAATATTTCTGCCAAAGTCTTAGGGTCTTTAGCTGGGGGAGGTGGCGCATACCTGTGATCCTAACAGGACATTTGCCTCACGTTCAAAGCCAGCCTGGGCTACAGAGTAAAAGCTGTCTCCGATAAATGCAGAAAGGCTCTCATCCTCTTTAGAGTATGTATGTGGGCTAATATCAGAAAAGGTCCTCCAGAGGGACTGAAAGTCGGCCATCTTGGACGCCTACCTACAGCTCCCAAGACTTCACATGCTACACTGACCAGAAGCCCATTTTCCAGAATAAACATAAAATGAAACAAAATTTAAAATTACAGCTGAGACTCAAGTCCCCGACTTCGCCATGCCCTTTCTGCAATTCCCTGCCTGCCCCAGGTCAGCTGTGTCAAAGGATGTCTTGTTCACTAGGCTACAAACGTCAGAAGACAGAACTGATCATGAGGAAGCTCTAAGCACTGGCTCTCCCTTCAGAAGGGAGGAACACTTCTTTATATCTGGATCTTAGGGTTTTAAAAAAACATTTGTAGGCACCAGGACGACATTCCCAGCCAGGATATGGGTGCAAAAGGTGCCTTCCCACCGCACGGGCCTGAGCTGAGTTGCCGGGGCCAGCTGTAATGATGAAGCTACAGACCTCGAAGACTGTGGAGGCTGAGTTCATTCAGGATCAGCTCCTAAGGCTGCAGAACTAAGATGATCTCAGCAGGACACAGCGATTAGTCGACAGCACTTAGAGAGGCAAGCCAACCTTCCCTAAATGAACTCACATGTAGCTTATCTGCAGCCAGCTGCTACATGGCTCAGACTGAAATGCCTCAGCCAAGACTTTTGGTATTGCTACACAGGAATCCCTCCAAAAGGCCAGCCTTGGCTTGTCCCCATAGCCGCTGTGAAGAGGGGGACAGTGAAATTCCAATGGTAGACAAAGCTGGTCAAGCTCACCGCAGAGGATGTGACCACAGGGATAAGAACTGGGACCACCAATCGCCAACCTGACACTCTGCTCAGAAACTCTTCCCAACACCATTTGCCCAAGCCTTCCCAATTCCATCCATCCTCCTGCTCCACCTACAGCATGTGGTATAAACTTCCCTTCTGATCTCTGCTCTGCGTGAGGACACCCCTTCATCCAGTCCAACCCACCGCTGAAGCACACCTTTTAGTACCTGCCTGCCTCTGATCTCTGCCATTAGGAACTGAATGTCATACATGCTAAGTGAGATTCACGGGTCTGAGAATCAGGGTGCACACCCTGTGTGCTCTCAGGATGTCCGCCAGCCTACCCACTCTCAGTAGTCGCATTCACAGACATGTGATGGGACCAGGGTGAATGGACAGCTGTCAGGTAGCAAAAAGTGACACAGGAGAGAGGCCACTGCTGGCCCAGGCTGAAGCCTGCTCCCTCTGAGCTCTGTGTGCACAGGCACTATGGAACAGTGAGGAGCTGGACTTTTGCTGCCATGACCCTAGCCCGTGTGTAAGCAGGAGCTCCTAGGAGAGGGACCCATGCCCTCCCCCGGGCTGCCGTCTTCCCTCTGCAACCTCAGCTCCCAGATTCTACCTGTCTTTCAAGCTTGGCTCAGGTCACAGGCAACCCCAAGCCATTTTTCTTTTTCCTTCTCCTTCCAGTGCACAAAGGGGACCCAAGGTTCCTTCTACCTTTCCTTTAAAACAGGACTGGCATGACTCTGACTGGCCATGGACCTCAGGCTTTCAACAGAGTAGAGCTCAGTCTTTGTGTAAATAATAGGCACCTATTTACCTGTTGTTTAAGTGGAAATCCAACTTCCACTTTCTCCCAGGCAGCTCCAGCCAGACTGCTCCCCTGGGGGTAAAAGCCACAGCAGCATTGCCTTCGGGAACCTTCACGAATGTGCAGGCAATGGCCTCCATGGCCAGATTTCCCATTTGTTCCATGCCCTCTTGTTCCTGGGAGCAGACCATGGCACGCCTCCCTGATTCATGGGTTTGCAGTCTCACCTACACAATGCTAGACTCTAAGTGTCACAAGTGTCACCAGCTCAGTCCCTATCATATCATACGGCATTCTTGAGATTGTGCTGACAGAGAAGTCTGCTTTCGTGTCCACAAAAGTTACAAAATGGAGTGGGCCTATCTGCATCCCACAGAGTGTCTCAAGGACATAGAATCCACCTGCAGGCATGCTCCATCTTGGCCCCAAACAATCCGTCTTCCGTTCAGGGCCCTCTGCCATAAAAGGATTCGTTGTGCCAGTGCACAACTATAACTTAACTTCTGTGTCTGTAAATGAGGACTGCTCAGACAAGTACAGCCTCTTATCGATGACACAGCCACTCTAACATTGGGAAGAAAACCCTCAGGCTGGGAGCTGGAATGGAGCTAGCAAGGTAGGCCCTTTACCTTCCTCGGGAGCCAGATGGCCTATGAGGGCATCACCCACAAGTCTGTATCAACAAGTGACACTAGGCTGCCACAGCCTAAGTGGAGAGCTTCAGTTGTCTTCCGCATGGCCTCTCGTCTGCCCAGGCTCCTGATGTGGGTCCCAGGGTGTGAGCAGCTATAAAAGATCAGACAAGTGCTGTGAGTCTCTACCAGCACTATCCCTTGGCTCAAGTGGACTGCGCAAACTCACTATGGGATGCCCAGGGGAGAGAACAGTGCCTGCCACCCATATGCAAACCACCAAACACAGAACTCTCATGATGACCTCTGTGCTCTTGTCCTGTAATTCACCCTTGGTGTATCATTGGCTATACAAGATGTTTACCTTCCAACCAGATGGACAAAAAGTGCAGAAAGTGCTGCAGCAAAAACTATGACGCAGGTGTACAGATTTTAGTATGATTAGTCTATATTATATGCCTAATATCCACTTAGGAGTGAGTATATACCCTGTGTGTCTTTCTGCTTCTGGGATACTTCACTCAGGATGATTTTTTTTCTAGTTCACACCATTTGCCTGCAAATTTCATGATTTCCTTGTTTTTAATTTTTGAGTAGTATTCTATTGTGTAAATATACCACAATTTCTGTATCCACTCCTCAAATGAGGGACATCTGGGTTGTTTCCAGGTTCTGGCTATTACGAATAAAGCTGCTATGCACATGGTTGAGCAAATGTCTTTGTTGTATACTTGAGCATATTTTGGATATGTGCCTAATGGGGATCTTGAGTAGCTGGATCTTGAGGTAGCATTATTCCTTAATTGTCTGAGAAAGTGCCTGATTGATTTCCAAAGTGGTTGTACAAGTTTACATTCCCCCCAGCAAGGAGGGTTCCCCTTTCTCCACATCCTCTCCAGCATGTGTTGGCACTTGAGGTTTTTTTTGTTTTGTTTTGTTTTTGTTTTTTTATTTTAGCCTTTCTAATGTGTGTAAGGTGAAATTTCTGCATGATTTTGATTTTCATTTCCCTGATGGCTAAGGACGTTGAGCATTTCTTTAAGTGTTTCTTTGCCATTTGGTATTCCTCAATTGAGAATTCTCTGTTTAGTTCTGTACCTCATTTTTTAAATTGGATTACTTAATGTGTTGCTGTGTAACTTCTTGAGCTCTTTATATATTCTGGATATTAGCCCTCTGTCAGATATTGGATTGGTGAAGATCCTTTCCAAATCTGTAAGAGGACTCTGGGCAAAATGCTCATCCTCCTTCAGAAAGGCAAATGAAATAGACATCAGAAGAGGGAGAAAACGGGGAACAGGACAGGATCCTGCCACAGAGGGACGCTGAAAGAATCTACCCAGCAAGATTTTAAAGCAGATGCTGAGACTCATAGCCAAACTTTGGGCAGAGTGCAGGGAATCTTATGAAAGAAGGGGGAGATAGAAAGACCTGGAGGGAACAGGAGCTCCACAAGGAGAGCAACAGATCCAAAATATCTGGGCCCAGGGATCTTTTCTGAGACTGATACTCCAACCAAGGACCAGGCATGGATATAACCTAGAACCCCTGTACAGATGTAGCCCATGGCAGCTCAGTGTCCAAGTGGGTTCCCTAGGAAGGGAAACAGGGCCTGTCTCTGACATGAACTCAGGTTCTTTGATCACCTCCCCCTGAGTTTGTGCGGGGGGGGGGGGGGAGACAGCCTTACTAGGCCACAGAGGAATACAATGCAGACAGTCCTGATGAGACCTGATAGACTAGGGTCAGATGGAAGGGGAGGAGGACCTCCCCTATCAGTGGACTAAGGGAGGGGTATGGGAGAAGAAGAGGGAGAAAGGGGAATTGGGAGGGGATGAGGGAGGAGGCTACAGCTGAGATACAAAGTGAATAAATTGTAATAAATAAAAGTATCGTGAGCCAGAAAAAAAACTATAAACTCTAAAACACAGGAAGTAGACACACTGGGGCAAAAAGGAAGATCGCTCATGCTTAGCGATGTTTTATCAGTTGTGCGGGCACCTCTGTGGATTGCAGAGAGCAGGTCACAGACCCTGAGGGGCAATGAAGAGGTCGGGGGAGTGAGGCAAGGTTGGGCAGGAAAGGCCAGCCATCTCCTTGTGAGGGTGTCAGTCTTTTATCTCTGCGGGAAGCACCAGGCTGCAGGCACCATAAGCCACAGCAGTGGAGCTGGGGTGGTAGGTGGCAGCAACGACCACGCTAGAAGAAACAGACTGTGGCCGGATGGATCTGGACCCACAGTACTCTGGCAGACAGTATTCTTTCTGTTGGAATAGCATCTCTCCTGTAAGGACTGTGGCCCTCCTAAGAGTACTGTGGCCCTCCTAGACATGGGTACTATCTCTCCATGTATACCGTGACCCTCTATGGAGACAGAACACTCTATTCTGTGTGCTGTGGGCCTTTATTTGGTGCAAACATCAGGCTGACAGGCTTCCCCTACTCCACTCCAAAGGGTGATGCCTCTACTTGGCCTCCATAAGCATGCCAGGTCTCAGCTGAACTTCTCAAATAAGATGGTTTTTCTTCCATATGCTGCATGCTCATCCTTGGGGATCCAGAGACCCACAGGGGTGATTCCATCTCCCAAGGGTGCAACTTTGATTGGCTGGTCAGCTCCAGTCCTGCCTTCTGACGACAGAGCCCTGCAGAGGAACCAAACAGAAACAGAATTTTGTACGGACTGCAAAGAAATGGAACCCTCTGTGATAGAAGAGACCAGGGGAGAGGGACAAAGAGCCAGGTTGGGGAGAGGGAGGCACCTCAAGAGAGGTTATCAGCAATCCTTGAAGGCTCGGGCTTTGTGTCAAGGTCCCGAGAGGATGCCAACAGTCAGGACAAGATCACTGTGAAGCCCTCTTCTTTACCATCCAAAAAAATATTTGAGGAAGCAATCAGCAGGAACTAAGATGGTGGTGGTAATGCACAGCTCATTTTTCTGTAGTTCACCTTCACATCTGTCCACATGAACACTCAAAAGACACTCAGGGAAGGTAGGGAGGACAGAGAAAAGACAAAAACTGCTTGTCCTTGCATGGGCACAGCTCCAGAACCTCGTGTTCTCAATAAGTCACCTGTAAGTGTGTGTGTTACCCCTCTAGTTGAGAAACAAAATGATTGAGGACATACAGGTTTTTAAGATAAGATTGCCTCCTAAAACAAAGCCAAATCCCACTCACTCTCTTCCAAGACCCCTCACCACACATGCCCTCTCACTCACATGTCCCCATCACTCAAGAAAAAAACCAAGACGGCTGTGGCACATTCTGAGCTCAAAGAAAACAGAAGCCCCACATTGCAAGACCACCCCTCCTTCCTGAGTGCCACAGATCACCTGGTCAGTTCACTGTATCTATCTTGTATCAGCAACAGAATGGGGTCTGATGCAAGTCTCTTCCTCCAACAACATGAAAAGTCCTCCTTAGGAATCCAGCTGGAAGAAATATGGACATGGATAAGGGGCAAAGCACACATCCCATCTTCCTGGTTTTCTCCTGTTGCCATCCCTATGGACAAAGCCCTTGGGGAAGTGATGGCTGTGCTGCAAAATAAAGCCAGGCAAGAGCCAAAAGAAAATCCATTCTCATTGCTTCGTAACCTGCACTAGCTCTCCAGCCATCTTCCTCATCGTACTGGAATCCAGGTTTCCTCCAAGCAGCCTTCCTACAAACAGCATAGCCAGAGGTTCTTGTCTCCAACAGTCCCGGAGGTTTTGTCTCCTTTACACAAGGGTTCCTGGTGAGTACAGCCACCAAAGATCCTGATCCAATGATGACATGGTAGTGGGAAATGAGGTGGAATGAGGGGTCACAGGGTCACTCCTTACTCACAAACTCACCACATGCACAAGCAGGCAAGACAGTGGTGGACAACAGAAACACTGAAAAATAAATGCATGACGTCAGCTCTACCAAGGGTTCTCATTTACAATTTGACTCCATCCAAAGATGACCAAGCAATGGAGGCTGACACTCCATTCCAGAAACTGTAGTCTAGAACAGGGAGTCATGGAACAAAGGCTTACAGATCTGAGTTTTTGAGACAAGGTTTCCCCTTGAACTTCTTACGTAGTCAAGGATGATCCTTCTGCCTCTACCTCACAAGTACTGTTTTTGATTCATGTATGCTGTGGTTTGAACCCAAGGCTTCGTGCATGCTAGGTAAATACTCTACCCCTGAGCTATCATGTGCCCCACAGTCAACTCCCTAAGTGGCACCAAGTAGCTGAGGCCACATGTGCAGAACAGAGTGAGACTTGGATCTCCCAAACCCTCCCAGGATTGAGCCTGAACCTGCAGCCTCCCTTCAGGCCTGGTCTGCAGAGGGCCTCTAGGGAGGGAGCAAGGCTCCAGGAGCCCTGCACCTGCCCAGGCCATTCTACCAGGTCATCCTTGGCTCAGTCCCTCTCAAGTGTACCAGGTGTCCTCACATAAATGAGACATGTATGCGACCTCTAGGATCCTTGGAGACAAAAGCTCCTAGGTGTGTGAGCACATTAACCATAATGTTTCTTTGGACACAAAGACACAGGCCCAGGAGTAACCTGCCTCTGGTCTAGGGAAGGTTCAAAACCTGAAGAGCAGATGAACAGTGAGCCAGAGAGCAGGTTATGAAGGGTAAAACAGGTTTTCTAATAGATCTGGCCTGGGTTTATTTTCAGACACACACACACACACACACACACACACACACACACACACACACACACACACACACCATGGGGGTGGTCTCCTTTTTAACAAGCCATCCTAGGGATGAGGCATCCTGTCTGTCCCTGAGTTCACATGTGTCCTAAAGGTCAACAACCAGCTCACAGCTGAACCACAGGCATCCCAGGAAGTGCCTGGAACCAAAATGTGTTCATCTGTGGACTTAACACACTCTGCAAATGAGCCCTGTGCCAGGCTGGGTTGAGACATCTCAGAGGTTCTGATAGGGGCCTGACTTGTGAGTCAGGTTTGATCTTTTCATCAGGCAAAGACCTGCTCTCCTCCCTTTGTCTGCTCAAGACTACACAGGCTATACTAAACACTATAAATAATCAGAGAGGAGAGTGCTGGAGGTGGGGCAGAAATAGGGGCAAATCACAGAGGGACCCAAGTTCCCTTGGTGGTGGCCCCAGCCACCCTTGTCCATGGAAGAAAGACCTGTGAGCTTCCTGTCATCTACAGAAGCTCAGCAAGATCAAAGCTGGGTCACCCTGGCAACAGTACTCCAAGGCTGACACTAGCTCTCTTCAGCATCCCTCAGAGCACAACATGCCTTGTTCCTTGCCTAGGGAATCAGTAGGGCTTATTCTAATGGTGTAAAGCCAGCAAAAAAGTTCCTAGATTAAACAAGAATCCTTTAAGTTCTCAGCAAATTTTCACCACCACCAATCATAAAGTCATGTGGAGTGAGGAAGGTAAGAAAACTAGGTAAGGGATGTCAAGAGACAGAGAGAACAGATGAGATAGGACAAAGAGATGAGGGGGAGGAGGCTGGTAACTAGACAGACAGACAGGAGAGGGGGGGCTTTGCAAGGGTGATGATGGCCATGTTCTGTGAATTAAGAAATGTGAGCATGTCTCTTTACGCTTGATTCCAAAATCAGCTTCAAGTCTCTCGTCCCCTCCAGAAGATGAGAAACAAGCGGGTGTGTGCAAGTGCCAGGCAAGGGGAGAGGAGTCTTACATCCACAGGCTGAGGTTCTGTCAGGCCTTGTCTTCAGCAGTTGTGTCCCACCCCCATGGTCTTGCTGTGGCTCAGTCTCTTCCCTGGCCCCACTGTTGTCTGAACCTCACTCTCCTCCCCCTGCAGGAGCAGGCCACAGAGACAACAGCACACAGTTGACTTCTGTGCTCATGATCTCCCGGAGGAACCCCTGGGAGCCTTCCTCTAGGAATTCCTGTTCAGGATCCTCATTAGCAGAGGGTCCATACGTGTGGATTCTTCCATGTTGGGGACTCGTCCATCTTAGGGCTCTTTCACTTGGTGGCCTTTTCCAGCCCTGGGCTCCTCCATTTCAGGGAGGGTCATACCCCTGTCTGCACAGATCACCATGTTGACTGGGATGGCAAGTACATCCAGGAAGATTCTGCTCACTTAGGCTTCTGGAGAGGTACAGGTGCCAGACTCTACTAGAAAACTCTGCTCTTCAGGGTCACTAATTGAGAAGCCCCAGGCCCCAGAGGATATATCATCATGGAGAAGTTGCTGACAAGAGCCCTCAGGGTTACTTTGTGTCCCAAATAACAGTATCTGATGTACAACATCAAATTATGGCTACTGAGGCCTGTACCTTCCCATGGTCACATTCGCCTAAAGATCTGAGGCCACTGACATTTTCCACATCTTCCACTCCTATGTGATCATGAGCAAAGGCCTCTGAGGCTCACCTAGACAGTTTCTGACTCCCATAACAATCCGTGTTACCATAACAAGCAAGGTCACTGTCATGCTTTCCCACTATGTAGAGGGAACAGACACATTCATCCTCCCGTTTTCATTACTAAGAGCATTTAAAAAATGCCTTTGGAGTAGCATCTACACTTTTAAGAGCTATCTTATTTTCAGTTTTGTGTGCTCGTGTCGGCGTGTCAGCGGGTGGATATATACACAAGAGTACAAGTGTCCTCAGAGGCCAGAGTGGAGGCTCCCCAGAACTGGAGCTACAGGAGGCTGGGAGCTGCCCAGTATGCATGCTGGGAACTGACCTCAGTTCCTCTGCAAAAGAAGCAAGTACTCTTAACCACTGGTCCTTTTCTCCAGTCCCATTTGCAAATTTTTAACCTGTGTTTCCCAGTTTACCTTGCAGCTGACATGGTCAGTGTGACATCCAAAGAGAAAGGAGCAAGAGTTAGCAGACTTTCCTAATCCAGGTACCTTCTCTGTTCTTTCCCCCTTGTTCCCCGTTTCCTCCTCTTCTTTGGGAGAACAATTTGTGACCATGACATATTAACAAGGAAGCACATGAGGGACAGATGACTCCAGCCATGCTGCTGCAGCCCTTACTGCCCCTGGCTACCCACATGCCTGAATGGTTGAGTATCTGTCACTCACCCAGACACAGTTCCTAACCAGTACAAGAAAAGGCATTTTCCATCTTGCTAGAACACACCTGAATGTCTGAGAATAACTTGTCCTCATGTCAATAATGTCCAATAAGCACCTCACTTAGTACTTAGGACCTGCCAAGGCAAGATGGATTCCGAGAAAGGCCTTCTGCTCTGCTGGTGAGGAACTCTTCATGGAAATCACGGAGAGCAAGGCAATGGCAGTGCGTGGCAGTGCTGTGGAAACAACCAGGACGCCAAAGTCTGCAAAGCTTGAGAAATCCACAGGAAGGTCAATAGACAGTAAAGACATCTATTTTGTTTTACCTTATTTTCCTTGTGTTCACATGTGTGTGTATTGTGTGTGTCCCCAAGTATGTGTGTGTATGTTTATGCATATCTATGCGTATGTGTAAACATGTGTCCCCAAGTGTGTATTTGTGTGCATGTTTGTACATGTCTGTGTGTGTGCATGCACATGTATGTGTGTCCCCAAATATGTATGTGTGTTTATACATGTGTGCATGTCCACGTGTGTGTTCTGTGTCCGTGTGTGTGTGTGTGAATGTATGCTACAAGTATGCAGATCCTTTGGGGGCCAAAAAAAGGCA